GGAAAATGCAAGCCAATCCAACTCATGAAAGCAAATGTGAAATACCTAAACAGAATATTATTTAACTGGGTGCAATAATACATCAAACACATCACAACCAAGTTGCATTTACTCCAGGAATATGATATTGGGTTAACATTCAAACATCAATGTAGGAAATTCTGCTTCTAGTCAAGGTGGAGAACTGGATTTACCCTCCTGCATGAAACAACTACAGACAAAAAACCAGACCATTTAATAGAAAATGAACAAAGAAACTAACAGGGCCTTTAAAAAAAAAAGGACATCTAAATTAGAGAGACAGAAAGACAGAGAGAAAAAATGATTTTGAAGATACCAAGTACTGGCAAGGATGTGGAGAAGCCAGAACTAAAATACATTGTTGGTGAAGTGTAAACTTGTACAACCCCTTTAGAAAACTACTCAGAAGTACCTATCAAAGATCAGCATTCACAAACTCAATGACCCAGAAAATCCACAACTAGGTTTATACCTCTAGAAATACATATATATGTACACAAAAAGCATGTAAAAGAATATTCATGGTAGCATTATTTGTAATGGTCCCAAACTGGAAACCATTCAAATGACCATTAACATAGAACAAGGATAAATTAATTATGATACAGCTACATAATGGAATGTCATACTGCAATAAAAAAAGAATAAACTGCTGCTACAAGCAACAACTGGATGGCATTCAATTATATATTCTTAAAGTAAAAAAAAAAAAAAAAATCAGGCAAATATAGTACATACTGTATGATTCCACTTACTTTTCTAAAAAGGCAAAACCACAAGCTAGGCCGGGCGCGGTGGCTCACGCCTGTAATCCTAGCACTCTGGGAGGCCGAGGCGGGCGGATTGCTCAAGGTTAGGAGTTCAAAACCAGCCTGAGCAAGAGCAAGACCCCGTCTCTACTATAAATAGAAAGAAATTAATTGGCCAACTAATATATATATAGAAAAAATTAGCCGGGCATGGTGGCGCATGCCTGTAGTCCCAGCTACTCGGGAGGCTGAGGCAGCAGGATTGCTTGAGCCCAGGAGTCTGAGGTTGCTGTGAGCTAGGCTGACGCCACGGCACTCACTCTAGCCTGGGCAACAAAGCGAGACTCTGTCTCAAAAAAAAAAAATAAAAATAAAAATAAAAATAAATACATTCTCAAAGTTTAGAAAAGAAAACCAAATGAGACGTCTCCTGTTGTGGCTATTGTTTTTAATCTGTCTAGAATAAGTCTCCTGCCCCAAATCTTCTAACACATCTCATCCACTGACCACAGGATGGTAAGCAGTGCTAAGGGAGATTGGTCCAGGGATTCTCACAAAGTACCTAACACACAATGCCAGGCACATTGTAGGCAGTTAATAAATAATTGGTGGAAAAAATAAGTGCATAGAGAGCAAAAGAAACATAAGGAAGCAGAGAATCTTTTCTGAGAGTCACAAATCTATTGTCAGGTCTGTCTACTGCCCACGAAAATGTAAAGTTGTCAAGAGCACAGACTTGATGTATTTTGGTCACTGATGTATCCCCACTATAGTCTTGAGTCAGGGACCTACTGAAATGTTTATCTACTTTATAAATGTACCAAATTCCTCTTTAAAATCTAGTGAGATATATTTAATACAAGTCTTTTAAAATGTTTTTCATATTTTGGGAATTAGTATGAGAGTATCAGGCTTCTGGGTGTTTTGTTTTCTAAGTCTAGTCATGAAGAAAACGATGAGTTATTTATGGTCGGGTTTTGAATTTATTGTAGGGACAAGATCTTCAGGTTTATAACAATAGCATCCTGCTAATGACACCAAACCCACTCTGATGCCAGCTACTGACAACTGCCATTTGCTCCCATTCTAGTTTCCTTAAAATTTCTTGCATAGGTTCTCATATAAATACATTTTTCATGACTTAAACAAGAAAATACTACTTTAACTGCGAAGTTTAAACATGATCTCATTTATGAGAATTGTGTTAATTAAAAACTACTGAATCAGTAAAGGTATAATTCAATTCACTCACTATTATTCCTCCTTTGCTAGGCTTCCTCATTCTTCAAAAGAGTTGATTATATATAGCAGTAATAATAATACCCAACATTTATCAAGCAGTTAATATTTGTCAGGCACAATCCATTTAGAATTCTTTAAAAATGTAAGTCAGATACTAAGATAATATCTTCTCCTTAACCATTCTAATAACAAAAGGGCATGTATCTCAGAGAAATGAATAAACTGGCAATAAATAGCTTACAAAGCAAATGATCTGATAAAATCTAAGCATAGTTGTTACTCGAATGAGTTTGGTTTAAAAACAAAACAACTAAACCATATGTAAACCCACTAGTAAGACTGAGGTTTACATTAAGTATTGATCAATCTAAACAGACAAAGAACATTTTTTAAAGTATTTACTAAGAATGTAATCATGATTCCAATAAAAATGAAATTTTTTCCACATTATTTTGGGGGTAATAATCTACTTTCAAACTTTTAACCCTGAATATGTGAAAGTCAGAATAATGTTGTTTTTTTTTTTCTTTTTTTTGAGACAGAGTCTCACTCTGTTGCCTGGGCTACAGTGCCGTGGTGTCAGCCTATCTCACAGCAACCTCAAACTCCTGGGCTCAGGCGATCCTTCTGCCTCAGCCTCCCAAGTAGCTGAGACTACAGGCATGCACCACCATGCCCGGCTACTTTTTTCTATATATTTTTAGTTGTCCAGCTAATTTCTTTCTATTTATAGTAGTAGAGATGGGGTCATGCTCTTGGTCAGGCTGGTTTCGAACTACTGACCTTGAGCGATCCTCCCGCCTCGGCCTCTCAGAGTGCTAGGATTACAGGAGTGAGCCACCGCACCCGGCCCATTTTTTAAACTGGATAAGACCTAGAGATCTAACTATAAAGTTACAAAATCAAATTATAGATCTCTGAGTTTCTCTAGTCCATTCAATAAAGGACTCCTGGCCAGGTGTGGTGGCTCACGCCTGTAATCCTAGCACTCTGGGAGGCCGAGGTGGGCAGATTGCTCGAGGTCAGGAGTTCAAAACCAGCCTGAGCAAGAGCAAGACCCCGTCTCTACTATAAATAGAAAGAAATTAATTGGCCAACTAATATATATAGAAAAAATTAGCCGGGCATGGTGGCGCATGACTATAGTCCCAGATACTAGGGAGGCTGAGGCAGAAGGATTGCCTGAGCCCAGGAGTTTGAGGTTGCTGTGAGCTAGGCTGATGCCACGGCACTCACTCTAGATAGGGCAACAAATCGAGACTGTGTCTCAAAAAAATAAAAAATAAAAATAAAGGACTCCTACTGAAATCATCTCTGATAGGCATTTATTGAATACTTCTAGTGAAAAGGGAATTTATTACTTCTATTCTTTAAACAGCTCAAATTTTAAGAAAGTTGTTAATATTTAATCAAAATATTCTTCACTATAATTTCTATTTGTATGACTTAACATCCTACATTTCAAAAAACAAGTCTCATACCCCCTCCCCTAACAGCCCCTCAAGTATTTGAGGATAATTGCATTATTTCCACCCTAGCCCTCAATGCCAAGCCTATTCTTTTTTAGGCTAAAAAAAAAAAAAAACTGTTTGTTTATTCATTTCACCAGATGACACAGTTTCCAGATTTTCTCCATCCCAATAACCAGTCTCTCATCAGTATAAAATATGTAGACTGTCTGCTATGATTTTTCTGAAGCTTACAACACTTACATCCCTACACGTGGCCTCATGTTATACTGGTGTTTTCAGCAATACAGTTCAACTGGCAGTAGTCCCCACAAGAACAATGGTAGCTTGTCAAGATCCTTCACATTACAAAACAGGTACACTGAAGTCTTGAAAAATCAAATTACATCAACTTAATGGCAGAAAAGGACCTACAATGCAAGTCTTCCAAATACTAGTGCTGTCTTCTTCCTAACACATCAGAATCACATCTTAGTATAAAACAGCAATGAAACTACTGAAAATTTGAAAATAGGTGACATTCTTACATACACAGAATCTTTAAGGGCCAGATGTGGTGGCTCACATCTGTAATCCCAGCACTTTGGAAGGTGGAAGGGTTGCCTGGGCAACACAGTGAGATCCTGTCTCTACAAAAATGTAAAGCTTAGCCAGGCATGGTGGCACATGCCTGTAGTCCCAGCTACTCGGGAGGCTGAGACAGGAGGATTGCTTGAGCCCAGGAGTTTGAGGTTGCCAAACTATGATGACGCCACTGCAATCTAGCCTGGACAACAGAGCGAGATAAAAAAAATATCTTTAAGGATTTCCATCAAGGTATTAACTATGATTCTTGGTTTTTGGTGCAACTGCCAATATTCACTGTCTTATTTTATTCATCCAAATTTTTCAAAAAAACAGACATAGCTCCTACAATAAAATCTTTTACATTTTTTAAAAGCAAAAAGAAAGGCATAAGGACATTCTTGGCGTGACATAACTTACTTTGAATATAATTTTAACCTTAAAAAGCTTAAAATATGAATTACTGGTTAGCTTATATTTTTATGTCAAAATACACCTTGCACAAATGTTTTGTGATAATGATTTTATATCATAACACTCATGGTTTGAAATGTAAAAACTACATGAGCACATGCAAACATAACATTAATTTGTTAGTATATACAGAACTGGAAGGGTCAAATCATTCAACATTGAGCCATTAGTATGTAAGTAAAACCAATGTATTAATATCTGCCACTATGGTCTGGTGATAAAATATACAAATAAATCTATTAAACAAAAATGGCTAAATGAAGTTTAAGCAGCATGAAAATTATGATGAGTTTCAAGCACTAACTGCAAGGACATTTATCAAACTCCAAGTGTTAGGCGACAATTTAGCAATCAGGGATGGCACTATAAGCAAACAGCATGAATGAAGACATACTTTAAAGTTTTAGGTGACATTCGGCTGTTACTACAAAATGGAAGGGTTCCCCCCATTACAGAGGCATTGGTACACTGCCCTCTGTACCTGGCACATCCTGGGGGAGCTCAGATGCCACCGTCTTCTCTGCCATGTTGCTGCTATCATGGGTTTCTGAGAGACACCCCACGGGGCTCCTCCCTTCAGAGGGACTAGTCTCTTCTGAAGCAGCATTTGCTGTGTTGTCGCCAAGATTTGCTGACACAGAGTTACCTTTATCCCCAACTTCTGTTGGCTCTACAGTAAAATGCACAACAAAACTTTAAAGATATTCTTTAAAATTGCTTTAGGTCAAATGGCCACATTCAGTTAGCTACTAAAAATGATCAATCATCAAAAAACCTGCTTCTGTGTTTGATGGCCATCTTAAAGCAATTAGTTTCTGGGATATTTCTGCAATAGGTTACCCAAAGAGTATTTAAGACTATTTAATATATTGAGAATGTTTAAGTAATTAGCATAAAAGTGCAACATATTTTATCACACACAGAAGTATATATTCTGGTATAAAATAGTAATTTTCACCAACAAATCTCACAGGGAAATGGCAACTTACTAGAAATATAAAAAGAGATATAACATTATAGCAAATCCACTAATACATAAAACTCATTACAATTCTTATACATGTTACGAGGGGGGAGAGTATCCGAACCTCTTTAGAAATGTAAAGTTAAGTAGTTTGCAATAAAAATTTTCATTTTAATTTGCAAGTAAAATTAAAGGTTTCATAAATAACACTGATGAAATATTTCTTTTTAACTAAATAATTTTTTTACCCTCAGATTTTCCTTGCTCAGGATCATCGTCTGGTGTTTTGTCGTCATTGTCTTTTTCAAGGGACTGGTCTTCAAACTCCTCTCCGCTTTTCTCGGCATCTTTAGAGTCATTATTCTCATTCTTTTCTTTTTCTATTTCTTCTGGGCTTTTAACAGTATCAATGTCTCCCTTTTTGACTCTTATGGATTCCAAAATTTCTTCTATAATAAAAACAAAAAATTTCATATCTTTATACAACCAAATATAGAAGTACTACAAATGCCACTTACAAGTTTCAATATAAATTGTTAGAGAGAAAAGCTAAATATTTTTAAAGCTAAATATTTTAAAAATCAAATATTTTAAATATTTAGAACTATTAAATAAGAATGAAGATTATTAACAAAATATTGTTTAGAGAACTCAACCAACTGGGGATACCTTCAATTCTAGAAAACACATGCTAAATATAGATTCTACTTTTTTTGAAAAGGGTTTGTAAAATTAGTCTATCTTTTGAAATTGACATTGATATAGTTTACTGTCACGACCTTTACCATATGACAGAAACTGCAAGCTGACACCTCAGTCTAGGCATCACGGTGCCGTGATTAAAACCTAGAGTGCAGATCTGATTTGAATTAGCTGTGTGACCCTGGGCAAGCTACCTAACTTCTCTAGGACTCCATTTCCTCAACTGCAAAATGAGAAAACAGAGGCCTGTTTGGAAAAAACTTTTCTCCCTGAAACCCCACAACTACCATGGAAAGTCAGTAAGTCCCTAAGGGTGCTGACCCTCTTTCAACTTGGACAGAGTGATATTATGGCATGGTTCAGACCACAGGTACAGAAAGGACCAGAGAGCACAGAACACAAAGTGTATCTGTATGAACTCATGGATATTAATTATATTCTTTGGGTTATAATCCAATACTGTCATTTTAAATTTTGCCGTACAAATTGTTTCAGCTTTGGCCTTTGGGGACTTTTTCAGATGTGTCCTTTTGACACACCTATTCATCCATACATTCACTCAGCACTTCTTTCCATTCCAGTATTACAAGATGCTCCAGGCTCACCTTGTATTGTCCTCTCCTCAGGCCTGCCTCAAATTTGCCATCTCTCCAAGAAGCCTTGGGGATTGGTTTTGTTTTGTTTGGGAGAATAATGTTTAGAAGCCACAATCTGAGTGCTAGGTGTGTTTACTACTACTGGGGTGTTGCTGCGTCTAGGCTCCCTCAGCCAAAAGGACTAACCCATAAATACACACACCTATATTATTTCTATATCTACCTCTGTGTGTGGGTATGTATTATATTTGTGTGTCTGTGTTATGTACATGTGTGTCTGTGTGAGTTCATTTTAGCATTATTCCTTTGCTTATTTGTAACTTCTTTCTCTGAAAGTGAGAAACCTCACCCTCAATATCTACACTATATCTAGTTATTTGTTCAATCCTAGTACACATGGTAAAGTGGTTTCAGAATTGCTAACCTATACCCCAGTAAGAAGTAAATTTACCAACTAGAGTACAATGTTTATGAATAAGAAGAAACATTCTTAATACCATGCAAAGCAGTGGTATTGTTTTTTGGATTTCCTTGTTTACATTTCCTTTGTTTAAAAGTTCTCTTCCTTTATTTTGGTAAGTATTTCTTAAATTATAGGTATCTAGCCTGTTGCCCAGGATTAGAAAAACCTTGTGAAGTCATCACCCCAAAACACTGACCTTTATGGTAAAGTGATTATGTCTGCACTGGATGGAGTTTGTACTCTCTCTCTTACCTTTCCTATTCCTAATTCTTCTAAGAATTCAGAGCCAATGATTATATGAACATCTGTCTTAAGACAGCTACACAACCACAATTTCAAACTAAGGAACTGCAGCTGGCACGTTTTCTGTCTTCTTCATCATCCAAGTCATCCCAGAATCCCTTTGTACACTATTTCCTTGCATCCTTTTACTTATCTATACATACTGTCTTTGCGTTCTGATTTACCGTGGCTTCATTTATTCCTGCTCAGTACACTAAACTTATCAATGAGAGTATCTTAATCACTGTTTTTAAAATAACTTTATTTTGGGAAAAGAAAACCTAGTTACCAATTACCTGTTTTTCTTAGAGGCACATTATTTTTCAACTTTCAAACATAGCTACATCGCAATGTTCAATTGTCAGCTTTTCTTAAACAAACCACTGCACATCTTCCCTACCTTCCTAGTGCCATTTAATGAGAATAAAACAAAAACAATTTTAAAATAGCCTTCTAAGTTTAGACCATTTAAATTAGATGAAAAGCACAGGAAGGAAGACCACAGTTCTCTGATTTTCTATAAAGGTTCTAATCTCAAATATTCTATCTTATTACCCACTCTATCAAGTATATACATACATTTATCAATCTGTATGTGTTGGTTTTAGGTTAAAAACATATGGCAACTATAGCCACAAGAAAAACAGACCAAAAAAGTTGAGAGGAGAGAAATACATCAAAGGGTAAAAGAAAAACTAATGAATTTAGGTTGTATCTGATCTACAGTAAATGTGCATATTCTATAAACATATATATTCTATACTTTGCATGACTATTTCAAAACCAAACAGAAAGAATTAACCTACTAGGTTTTAGAAATTATCTCTACTTAGAAAAATACATTCCAAAACTAAACTTCCTTCAAATAAGCACTATAAAACACAATTATGGTCCAGGCGCAGTGGCTCACGCCTGTAATCCTAGCACCCTGGGAGGATGAGGCGGGCGGATTGTGCGAGGTCAGGAGTTTGAAACCAGCCTGAGGGAGACCCTGTCTCTACTAAAAATAGAAAGAAATTAATTGACCAACTAAAAATATATATGCAAAAAAAAATTAGCCAGGCATGGTGGCGCATGCCTGTAATCCCAGCTACTCGGGAGGCTGAGGCAGTAGGATTGCTGAGCCAGAAATTGTAGATTGCGTGAGCTAGGCTGATGCCATGGCACTCACTCTAGCCTGGGCAACAAAGTGAGACTCTGTCTAAAAGAAAAAAAAAAAAAACGATGAAACATATGAGAAAAAACACATGATAAAGCAAATTAGTAATTCTGTAAGAGTTACAGACATATAGTAAATTGTAAAACAACATAATGGTGGTTATCAAATAACTTTCAACCTTTCTGTAATAAATAGATATTTCCATAAAGTTGGGGGGGGAATTCAACTACCAAAAATAGAATTAACTCCCTAAGTGGGGCATACATGTATATGAAAACCAGAGGCTATAATTTGAAAGATTAGTTACTGAGAGTTAATATCAAGTAAAGTCATAAAAGGCTATGATCATCAAATCCTGTTATTAGCTCATTTATCTGGCTATATCAGAACCCCAGTATTTCTGTTGTTTTTATCTCATAAGAAATCCAAGGTAAAGAACACAATAAATATTATTTGGGTATTAATCGGATGGTTGGTTAAACATCATAGCAAGATTTCTGGTTTACAAGTAAAAAAGGTAGCCAGTGGTGGATTAAGTTTTCATGGGGAATCTAATCTAAATGTTCAATTATTGCCAATACACTCCTTACAAAGTTGTTGAGAGGATAAAGACTTAATAATACACTATTGAGCACACTGAACCACAGTGGAACTCAGAAATTAGTTTTCTTCTCTTTCTATCAATTCTCAAATTTTGTGATCCTTCTCCTCTAGTATCAGGTTGAAGCTGAACCTCAACAAAAAAGAAGGGCAAAAAAGAAAAAAAAACTTTATATCATTTTTGGGTCCAGATTTCACCATTAAACCACGGTGCAGTACCTCCATTTAAAATGGACTCCATGTAGTACAGAGGGTAACTCAAGGTTGCAAGACAATCTAATGCACACAAGTTTGGCCACCTAACTTTCTAATAACCATATGTGGCCTTAATCTCAAGCTCTCTCATGTTGTTTGAGTTACTGCAATAGATTTAACAAACTTTTAAAACTACGTTACATGCTGAATTCACTTGAAATAGCCGGACAACTAAAAAATTATAGAAAAGATTAGGGGCATGTGGGGGCGCATGACTGAAGTCCAGCTACGTGGGAGGACTGAGGCAGGAAGATTGCTTGAACCAGGAGTCTGAGTTGCCTGGAGCTAGGCGATGCCATGGCACTCTAGCCCAGCAACAGAGTGAAACTCTCTTCTCGAAAAAAATTTAAAAATAAATAAATAATTAAATAAAAGCAAAGAGTTGAGCAACAAAATAAGTAAAACTATAAAATAAATATCTATCAGTATAGACTGATAGAAATATGAGAAGGGGGGGGGAAGGCATAGCAAATATGTAACTTAACACTTGTACCCATAATACGCAAAAAAAATAAATTTAAAGGCCGGGCTGTGGGCTCACGCCTGTAAACTAGCTCTTGGGAGGCCGAGGCGGGCGGATTGCTCAAAGGTCAGGAGTTCAAAACCAGCCTGAGCAAGAGCGGAGACCCCTTCCTACTATAAATAGAAAAGAAAAATTGGCTAACTGATATATAATAACAAAAAATAACCGGGCATCGTGGCGCATGCCTGTAGTCCAGCTACTCGGGAGGCTGAGGCAGAAGGATACTGGAGCCCAGGAGTTTGGAGGTTGCTGTGAGCCTAAGGCTGACGCCACGGCACTCACTCTAGCCTGGACAACAAAACGAGACTCTGTCTCAAAAAAATAAATAAATAAATAAATAAATAAATAAATAAATAAATAAATAAATAAATAAATAAATTTAAAAAAAAGAAATGACTGAAAAAAATAAATGGAGAATAGACAAATCTCCTGTGCAGAAAAATTCCAAAATAATTTATGAGGATACTGCCCCTTCAAGGAGGTACAGCATAACTCCCCACTCCTTAAGTGTGGGCTGTGTATAGTGACTTGCTTATAAAAAGCACAGTTTTGAGGGGGGGGGGATAACTTTACAGTGGAGAAACCTGAAAACACTACCTCAACCAGGTGATCAACATCAACATCATCAGTGATAAGTCATGGTGATAGCACATACCCTTAATATGATGATGAGAATTGCACCTCCCCTCTGTGGTCTTCCTCCCAAAAATCCATAAACCCAGACTAACCATGAGAAGAACACGAGAAAAACCCATAACAAGGGCATTCTATAAAATACCTCATTAGTACTCCTCAAAACTGTCAAGGTCGTCAAAAACAACAGAAGTCTGAGAAACTGACAGCCTAGAGGAAGACACAATGACTAAATATCATAGATTCTGGATGGGACCCTAAGATAGAAAAAGGACATTAGGTAAAAACTAAAGATATCTGAATAGAGCATGGACTAGAGCCCAGGAAACAGAGTGAGACTCTGTCTCAAAAAAATAAAGAAAGAAAATTAAAGCAAAATATGCATACAGTCACACACTATAAAACAACATTTTTTTTTTGAAGACAGAGTTGTGCTCTGTTCCCAGGACTAGAATGCCGTGGTGTCAGCCTAGCTCACAGCAACCTCAAACTCCTGGGCTCAAGCAATCCTCCTGCCTCAGCCTCCCGAGAAGCTGGGACTACAGGCACGCCCGGCTAATTTTTTAGTTGTCCAGCTAATTTCTTTCTATTTTTTAGTAGAGCCAGGGTCTCACTCTTGCTCAGGCTGGTCTCAAACTCCTGACCTTGAGCAATCCTCCCACCTCGGCTTCCCAGAGAGCTAGGATTACAGGCGTGAGCCACCGCCCAGCCAACATTTCTAGTCAACAACAGGCCACATCCACAATGGTGGTCCTATGATATGATAATACAAAATACAGTCATTTTTTTCTTTCCTTTTTTGTTAGCTCTGTTTTAAGCATTCAATGTAATATTTTTACTGTACTTTTTATGTTTAGATACACAAATACTTGTCATTGTGTTACAACTGCCTGTAAGATTCAGTAGAGTAACACACTATACAGGTTCGTAGACTAGTTTGTACCACATATCCTAGGCGTGTAGCTAGGCTATACCATCTAGGTTTGTGTAATTACACACTCTATGATGTTCACACAATGATGAAATCACTTAACGACACATTTTTCAGAGTGTATCACTGTCATTAAGCAATGTATGACTATACTTGGAAATGTTAATATATTTTCAAATTTTGTAGTGATTTCATGCCAAGAGGTTAGCTCAAATTTAACAAAAATAAAATCAGAAAATGTCCCTCTCACCATTAGCTGCCGCCAGAAAGGATTTGTTACTGCCTCGAGCCTTATTGGTCAGGTCTTCAGTTATGTCCATGTGCCGGTGGATTTCTTCACGCATTTCTTCTAGAGTTTTGCAAAGTTCTGCTTCCCAATAATCTTTGTCTAGACAATCAATTAATTCTGCAAGCTGGACCTTTGTGCTGTAGTACCAAATTTTCTTTTCATTTTCATTTTCTGTATCTTCTTCTCTGTTTAAAAAAGGTAAAAAAGACTTATATGCTAAACATAATGCCACTTATTTGACAATTTCATCTACCCAGTGAAAAACTAAAATAAGTAACACAAAGTTTATGCACTAAAGCTCAACATATGTGCTCACAAGCAATTCCCTCCCTGCATGTGCAGTCTTGATTTATTCCTATTTTATTTGAGCCACCTCTAATTATTTTGATTTCCTAGCTCACAGAAGCTTAGGATAAAATATTAGTAACTTGGGAGTAGTAGCAGAAAGAGAAGTATTAGTATAGCACCAAAAAAGGACATCTAAAAAACAGGACACACAGAAAAATGACCTCAAAATTCAGAGCCATGTTAACAGTGCTTGGTGGAAGACAGTATCAGTTACATCTCAATCAACTCTAAGATCATCAGTGTAATAATATTATGAGTAGAATTTTAATCCCTGAGCCCACCAGAAATATTTAAATTATATTCAGTACATGGCAGGTAGAGAGTAGGTTCATCACATTATAATATAGTTTAGAAATATTTCCATCAAAATGGTGCAAATCCTTTGCTAAGTTCTGGTCTTGAAGGGATCACCTCAACTGGGCAATAATTTCTTTCTTTCTTTCTTTTCTTGAGACAGAATCTCGTTCTGTTGCCTGGGCTAGAGTGCTGTGGTGTCAGTCTAGCTCACAGCCCTGAGCTCAATCGATCCTCCTGCCTCGGCCTCCCAGAGTGCTAGGATTACAGGGGTGAGCCACCGCTCCTGGCGTGAGCAATAATTTCTTATCCTTCTTTTTTTCTCATGGACAATTAAAGCTCAAACTGGAGTAAAAAAGAGGTGCTTCCTTTCCTGCCTAAAACTCTCCTAAAATTCCATTCACTTTTAATGGAGTTGAAGACTACAACAGATACGGTCACTAACTTTAGAAAACATGGTAAATTAATGTCTAGGACAAGATTTAGGCACAAGTAATGGTATTTCTCCTCCCACTCAAAAGGAATTCAGGAGTATGCGTGAGGTACACCATGTCCATAAGTGTGATTTTCCTGGGTTTCCTTTTTTTGGTTTTGTTTTGAGACAGAGTCCCGCTCTGTTGGCCTGGCTAGAGTGCCATGGCATCAGCCTAGCTCATAGTAACTTCCTCCTGGGCTCAAGCAATCCTCCTACCTTGGCCTCCCAGAGTGCTAGGGTTACAGGCATGAGCCACCATGCCCAGCCTGAGTTTCCAGTTTAATCAGTGGCAAACTGATAAAACTGAAAGAACTGGGCTTTAGGAAAGATCTGGCTCTAAACGGGCTCTGTTGCTTATAAGATACGTAGGCATAGACAAGAAACACTCTCTGAGTCTCTGGGACATCATATTTACCTCACTTGTAAAATGGGGATATAGTAGTACCTGCCTCAGGGCCACCGGAAAACTTAAGTGTATTATGATAAAACCATCTATCATAGTGCCTGGGTACATCATTCATGATAAATATTAAATATTATTACTAAAGTAGTAAATAAAAAAAATTTAGCAGAAATCCAAAAATTCTGAAAAAAAAAGGAATATATAAAATCATAGATAAAAAGGATACAGGTTGAATATCACTAATCTGAAATCCAAAGTGCTCCAAAATCTGAAATTTTTGAGCACCAACATGATGCTTAAAGGAAATGCTCATTAGAGTATTTCAGATTTTTGGATTAGGGATGCTCAACTGTTGCGTAAAGCACAAATATTTCAAAATACTAAAAAAGTTGAAATCTGAAACCCTCTGGTGCCTAGCATTTCAGATGAGGGCTACTCAACCTACACAATATTCACATTAACTTAAAATTTTTCTTCTTAAAGCTGTAGAAAGATAAATTCATTATAAGCATAAAGTAGCAAACAGTGAACAATATGCTTTCAAACAAATTTTTCTTCTTAAAGCTGTAGAAGGATAAATTCATTATAAGCATAAAGTAGCAAACAGTGAACAATATGCTTTCAAAGTTGTTTTTTAAATACTTATGCACTTGGGCTTATTTACATGACTTATATAATCAAAATTATTTGCCTTATTGTAAAAGTGACAACAACAGTTTGCTTTGCTGTATCAGTATACATTGACTTGCATGTATATTTGGTTTGGGAGTTACAATTTGGTTTCCACAGAAGCTCTGTTCCTACAAGGCCTACCGTGTATGCCGCCTTAGGCTTACCCAAACAGGCCTGGCTTTCCTAATGATACTAATTAATTAGCACAGGTTCTCAAGGCGCTCACAGGGTGGCAGGGAGAGGACAGGTTCAGAAAAAAAAGGTTTGCCAAAAATATAATTAAGAGCAAACATATACATGTCTACATTTTACAGCTTCTTTGGTTTTTACCCAGGCTAGACAAATAGAAAGTTAATGACTAGCAGTGTTTCAAGTTTCATTTCTAAACAAGTCCACAGAAATTAAGAGCAAAGAATACTAGTGTAATGGACTGAATGGTGTTCTCCAAAATTCATGTCCTCCTGAAACCTCAGAATATGACCTTATTTGGAAACAGGGTCTTAGTTAAAGATCTTGAGATGCAATCATCCTGGACATGAGGTGAGCCCCTCAAATCCAATGACTGCTATCCTTTTTTTTTTTTTTTGAGACAGGGTTTCACGTTGTCACCGTAGCTGGAGTGCAACAGCAGGATCATAACTCACAGCAGCCTCAAACTCCTAGGCTCAAGAGATCTCCTGCCTCTGCCTCCCAAGCATCTGGGACTAACAGGCATGTGCCACCACAACCAGCTAATTTTCCGTATTCTTTTTGTGGAGACAAGGGTCTCATTATGTTGCCCAGGCTGGTCTTGAACTCCTGGCCTCAAGCAATCCTCCCGCCTTGGCCTCCCAAAGTGCTGGGATTACAGGCATGAGATGCCACACCTGGCCCCAATGAATGGTATCCGTGTAAGAGGAGAGGACACAGAGTGACACATAGGAAAGAAGGTAGTGTGAAAATGGAGGCAGAGACTGGTGCAATGCGTCTAACAAGCCAGGAAACAACGTGCTTGCTTCAGTAGCACATATACTAGAATTGAAACGATACAGATGAGATTAGCATAGCCCCTTCAGAAAAGGAAAAGGAAAAAGGGGAAAGGGAAAAGAGATTAGGGGATAGAGAAAAGGGGAAAGGAAAGAAAGGAAGACAGACAGATCCAGGACTGCCAAAAGCTAGGAGAAAAGCATGGAACAGATTCTTTCTGGGAGCCTCTAGAAAAAAATCAAGCCTGCTGATTAGTGATTTCAGATTTCTGGCCTTCAGGATTGTAAGATAGTAAGTTTCCATTATTTTAAGACACTGGGTTTGTGGTATTTTGTTATGGTAGTACTAGGAAACTCCTAACTTTTGGCACCAGGAAGTGGGGTGCTACTGTAACACATACCTAAAAATGGGGAAGTAGCTTTGGAACTAAATAATGGGAGGAGGCTGGGAGAATCCTCAGGCACTTCACAGAAAAAGGCTAGACTGCCTCAAAGACATATGTGGGCACATTTGAATTATGCTGCCAATAACCGAAGAAAGACTTGGGGCACTAGAAGCTGGAAAAGGCAAGAAAGGATTCTTTCCCAGAGCCTGCAGAGGGAGCATGGCCCTGGTGATACCTTGAGTTTGGACTTCTAGCCTCCAGAACTGTTAGAAAATAAATTTCAGGGTTGGGCGCAGTGGCTCATGCCTGTAATCCTAGCACTCTGGGAGGCCGAGGTGGATGGATCGCTTAAGGTCAGGAGTTCGAAACCAGCCTGGGCAAGAGTGAGACCCCGTCTCTACTAAAAATAGAAGGAAATTAATTGGCCAACTAAAAATATATAGAAAAATTAGTCAGGCATGGTGGCGCATGCCAGCTACTCGGGAGGCTGAGGCAGTAGGATTGCTTGAGCCTGGGAGTTTGAGGTCATTGTGAGCTAGGCTGATGCCACAGCACTCTAGCCTGGGTAACAGAGTGAGACTCTGTCTCAAAAAAAATTTTTTTTAATAAATTGCTGCTGTTTTAAGCCACCCAGTTTTGTGGTGCTTTGTTACGACAACCCTGGGAAACTAATACAACTAGCAATTCAGCAAAGACAGCAGCGAGATCAACAGCCCCAAGTAGTGGTTTGGAGCATACATTCTGGAGCCAGAATGTCTGGGTTTGAATTCTGATTTTGCCACAACTAGTTGACACTAGCTGTGTGACCTTAGATAAATTACTTAATCTCTCTATGTCTCAACTTCTCCATCTGAAAAATGGGTGACAGTACTTATAGCAAGATGCTATTAGGAATTGAAATATGTGAAGTGTTTAGAATAATGCCAGCAGCACAGTTGCCATTATTGTCCTGACCTTATGAAGAATGTGATGTCTACCTTAAAACAAATAATTATAAGTGGATGGGTGTATTAAAAAGTGAAAGCATTTCAGGATGCACAAGGGAGAAGGATTCAGGGAAAGAAAGCCCTAGGAAATGGAATAAATAGGCTGAGACTTAAAGAATGAGTTAGCCAAGAGATTTTTAGTTGTTTTACTTTGCTTATTTAGTTTCGGGGGGTGGGAAGCAAAAGAATTAAAAATACAAAGTCAGGGACCTAAGCTAAAGAGTTTGAACTTTCTGTTAAGAGCAAATAGATGTATTTAAAAGGTTTTTCAACTTGCGGAGAAAAGAAACTTGATTAAAACTGCTGTTTTAAAAATGTGGCTATGGAATAGAGAACAGAATTGGAGGTTGGGGTAGGAAGATTCCATATAGACAAGTTTGAAGGCTACTCAACTACGCTAATCGAGATGATATTGGTTTGCATTATGGTACGGAAAGTAAGAATAGAGAGAAATTGATTCAATTTTTAAGAGGTATTTAAAAGGTATAACCAACCATAAAGGGCAAAAGTTTATTCCCTGGTTTCTAGTTTGAGCAGCTGATGGGATAGTGATCCCATTTACTAAGATGAGAAGACTGGATGAAGAGTAATGAGGGGAAACAATGAGTTCAGTTTTAGACACGTTATATTTGAGGCACCAGCTATGTGGATATATC